TCCCGTCAGGAGAGCTAATAACACCTGTCATCATTATTTTAACATGCCTATTACGTCTGTTGAAGACAATGTGGGCTATTTACATAGACAGACTATCCTGAGGCACAGCAAATATTCCTGCCATTTTCTGAACAGTTAAGCCAAAGAGAAAAGCAAAATTTAGAAACTTGGCAATGCAATTAAATCTCAACTTACCACTAAGGGTCAGTATATACTAAGCAAATGAATCATTACAAAATTGAAGCGATTGGCCTAGCAGTAATACGACACATCTTTTCTGTCCTAAAAAGCCCAGATTATTTAATAAACAAAACACCCACCCCCAAAAAACCCCCAAAACCCAAACCCTATACCAGAAATATAGACATTGAACTTGTAGAAACTCCATCAACCAATTTTGCTGTGACTGAAGATCAGTAGCATCTTATCAAGTGGCCTGAGGTTTAGTAGAGGGTGCAGAAATATCTTGCTTAAGATTTGCCCAAAGTGCTGCTGTCCTCACTGGAGGGTAAAAGAGAGAATACAGCAAAGCATAGGAGACATTTAGCATCTACTTTCTTGCCAAGCATAATGCTCTGCATGAAAAGGTCAAATGTAATTGCACATGTAAGGAACCAGCAGAACAACTGAAACTCTTACTGCAGCTCACGGTTGCATTGAGCTGCTAAAGAAAAAAAGGAAAAAAAAGAAGAAAAAGAAAGATCTGTGGACCTGAGCACCACCATGTATGCCATAGGACAGGAAGAAAAGGGAGCTTTAGGGACAGCATGTTTGAAATATGCCCTTACAGTGTACCCCAAGGGCTAGGCGATAGATGAAGCCTTATGTATTGCAGGAATAAGGTCCCTCATAAAAACCCTATGTCTCAGTCTGTAAGAGAAAGAAAATGAGAGGAACACCCTGCACTGAGCTAGGGACAATTCATTGTACAGTGCCAGCTGCTCAGCTCACACAAAAGCAGCCCCGCAGCCTGCAGGAACCCCACTTAGGTCCCTCCCCAAACCCCTCAGCACTGCAGCCTACCCAGACCAGCTCTGGAGAGAGCTCTGACAGCCGCTCCACAGTTTGCCTTGTGGAATAAAATAAATACATTTTTTAAAGAGCAAAAGCCGACACTGACTTGGCCCTTGGTACAGCGGTCTGTTAGAGGAAGTGCAGGTGGACTGGCTGTCCCTTCTTACTGACTGGCCTGGACCCTGGACGCAGGGGAAGTCCCTGGCCCAAGTGCAGGCAGCAGGACCACTGCCCACCGCCTTGCCTCACAGTCGACACCATGGTGTTGGAGTTTTGGTTCAGTAACACCAGAGGCCCAAGAATTAATGGTGATTGTTTTTTCAGTTTACATTAGTGGGGACAAATAATGACATGAGAAGACAGTGGGGTATTCTTTGAACACTTCAACACCATTTCTGACAATCTTTAAAAAAATGCAAGAAATTCAGTAATTAAATTGATAGCAGTAAAAGAAGCTTTCCTGTGCACTACACATCCTATTTCCCCAAAAGAAGGTATGCTGTTCACCAAAACCTGTGTCCACTCTGAAGCAAAATGCCTCTGACTTAGTGGAAATTATGCTTTGGAAAGGACTTTTAAATCTTGTCTCTTAATTTGTATCTATTTAAATATTATCTGGTTTTACACCCGGAGAATAAACAACATATACCATCCTGTAAGTCAAACCATGGAATTTTTCCAAATAACTTATTAGCACAATGTCTCAATAAATCTCTCTGAAGGGAAGAATCTGTCATGGAATAACAAGTATAGCATAAGAAAAAGAAACAAGGCTGTAAAATGCAATAACAAAACGCCTTTAAACCACTGAACATTAATGAGTTAAGGGATACTGGGAAAAGCCTGAGAATGGTCCGAGGAGACAGCTTCGTTTCATTTCTGCAAATAACATTTCCTACAGTACCTTGAAAGCAAGAACAACAACAAACTTAACACAGCACGGAAAGGCAGTAGATTTAAAAACATGGAAGGGAGAAGAGGAAAAAGACACAAATCGGAGTTGTTAATTAGGAAAGAACTGTGTTCATTACTTGCCTGGGCGTTTTTTTTTCTGCTTTCTTTTTTCCATCGCTCTTTGTGGAAAACGGACTAATACAATCCATCTACAACATTAGGTTTGGGGTTTTTTTGATCCATGCTTTTGGTGACATAAACACGTTGGGCAACAATGATTGACCACTGACTCCCACAAAGAGATCTACATTGTTCAAGAACACCTATGTGGAGCTTACCATGGTGTGAGACAACCAGAGCTTTCAATTACAAGCCAAGCATATGAGAGGCTCTCTGTCTAAGGCTGCTGTTTTTAAATGTCAGAGGCTGTGCCAAAACCCAGGAAAGACCTACTTTACTAAGCAGACTTTTAGTAAGCAAGCTTTTCCTGACCTTCCTTTCTGATTTCCCCATGCCTAGACATTTCTGTCATGGCGTTCTCTGACAGTCCACTACAGTGTTTCAGCTCTGCTCCATGTCAAGCACTTTTCTCCTGGGCTTTGTTTTACTCTTGCCTCCTAGCTCCACTTGCTGTATTCGTCACAAGTGGGAGATCAGACAAACAGGGTTTACTTAGCTTTTTAAGCTAAAAATGGCTGATGTATTAAAAAAATGTGCATCCTGACTTTGTCCTTCAGATGAGATCCCACCAGCAAATGATGAAGTGAAATCTCTGCAACAAGTCTTAGTCCTGTCCATTTGCCAGAAAGGAGGCATCTATTTCTCTACTCAGACATGCTGCTTGCTTAACCTTGGGTCAAGAAAGAGAAAAAGAAACAGGCTTTTAAAACGATAAAATGTAGCTGGAATATTTAGAGATAGGGAGATGATAAGACCTGGATTTAGAGATGTATCTAAATACTGGCGTGGCTATCTGAAGCTCTTATCTTACCTTGATGTTTCGTCCAGATCATGGCTGTAAAACAGACTTATTGTCCTCTTCTTGCTGCAGTAACGATCTTGGAAACACTCAGATCCAGTTCAAACTAAATCTATTTATTTTCCTATTATTTAGAAAGTGTAATCATCCTCAAGTCCAACAGTCACCCTGAAACAGGGTGTTCAGTGATGAATACTCCATGCTCTTATCAGATGTTTGTGTTTCGTTTGGAATGTTGAGATTCCAAAGTGTTCAATACCTTGTCTTGATATCAGGTATTATAAATCATGCACACTTTTTAATTTGCCCAGAAGTCCTAGACAATCCTCATTTGAAGCCTATAGGCACTAATAACCAGCAAAAAGCCATTAATATCAATAGTGCTTTATTAGCTAGTGACACAGATCCATGGTGTGAGGTTAAACACCAATGACTTTTTTTACAGCTGGGAGTACTGTGGCGCCAAATGAGTATGTGAAGAGCCTAGTGCTGTGTAAAAGCAAAGCTGGGACCAGAGCTGAGCTCTTCTTGATACCATTCCAGTCTTTACTTTGGTTCATTCAAATGGCTTCTGAAGAGTCGCTTCCTTCTTTTTGTTGTTTGTGGCATAAACCCCCTCAGTTCTGTAAGTTTTGTAGCTGCTTCTGTACAACTGAAGAATCCTTCTTTGAGTCTGTCTTGCATATCCATGCTGAGCTGGAATCATGGATCCTGTTTGCAGTGTTTCTACCAAAAAATGTCAGCAAAGAGGATAGATACAGAGATGCAGATGGAGGGCAAAAAGATGGCTCCCAAACATAAAGAAACACTTGTTGACAGATTCTGTTTTCAGCAAGTCTTCGTGGAAGACCTTGGATTGAGAGTGAAATCACTATGCAAGGCATAGACAAAAGGCTCATTTTTCTTTTTTTTTCTTTCTTCTTTTTTTTTTTATTTTTTTTTTCCCCTAGCTCAGCTCTTTAAAAGAGACTTTAAACAGTGGAAAGATAAACCAAGGGTAAAACTTTGTATCAAAGGCAAACAGTTAAGACAAAACAGCAGTGAACTGATTTAAAAACTGGCCATCGATAAAAGAGGAAATGACCTGTGAAGTGTAATTTGTCCACCTTATTTCATTTTATGCCATAGAGTTTGCATGCTTTAACAAATGAAAATATTGGTATAAACATATCATGCTTCAAACAAAAACCCTAGGGCTCAAACACACTCTGAATCACTGCAGCTTGATGTGCTGCCATTTACTGTCTGAAGCTGTGACAAATGCAGAATAGTCTGGCCTTCTTTCCCAGAGAAGGTTGTACCCTGTACTTGCTGCAGGTGACAAAGGTGAATATTGGCATTTCCCGTGGCTCAGCTGGTGTGTGGGATCCTGCTCACAGGTCTCACACTGCTGTGTTTCCTCTGACTCCCAAATCAAAACTTTTTCTAATGCCTCTAGACAACAATGATCTTGCATAAAGATAAATGGTTTTGGCTGATGTACCCAGGCAGCCTCAGACCAAAAGCAAGACAAGTACTTTAAGCATTGCATATCCAGAGAACATGGGGAAGTGTCTTTGTTTTCTTCTTTTCTAGACTAAGAGTCACCACTGCTTACTTTGTTTCTATCTACATTTCTGCAAGTAACTCTAATAACACTGGTAAAAGCTGCCCTTAACTGAAAGGATCATTTTATATGGACAATTCTCTGTGCACTAGACAAACCCACTGTGCAATATACAATCTTGTCTAAATGAGCTTATTATTTATTTTGTAGCTTTTAAATCAGTTTTATTTACAACAGGTCTTTGAGTACAGCTCACACGCAATAGTTAAGCTCTGGCAGTACTGATGTCAGGTCGCTAACACATTTGCAAATTACATTTCTAAGTCATAGAAAATGAAAGAAAAATTACTTTAAAATAATTGTTTTATCTTCAGGTATAAGGATCACAGAACACATTTGCAGGTGGCTGTAAAACCCAGCCGAGGGTGCTCCCCAGGGAGCCGCGGCGCTGCCGGCACGCCGAGTGCTGCGGTGCGGGGACACAAGCAGTGGCGAATGGTCGGACGCACGCACGGCTGCGCAGTTCAGTTACTCTCCGTGATGGGACTCGAGGCAGCTTCGCACTCTTTAATGACCCCACTCCTCTTCCCTTTCACTAACGCCCTCTTCTTCCTCTGGAAATGCTGAATCGCTCTGACTCTTCAGATGCTTAATCCCTGCAAGTGTAGAAGTCATGGTTAAAGTTGTGTTAGCTCACGTCAGACATTTTTTTCCTAAAGGAAGAAAAAAACCCCAAAAATCAAACTAATGGCGAGTTTTTTAATGCCCATACTGACTCCCTTTTTCACCTCTGAGTTCAAGCACTACTACAGTGTGTTTCCAACAGAAATATTATCTTCTTCAAATATAGGCTCTTAGGGAAATTATAACTTTTTAAATTAGAAAAACTGCTGAAAGATGCCTTGTAGAAGAGAATAGTATTTCTTTCTCTTTTTCCCTTGGTAATCCTTGATCAGATTAGTGTTGCCCATCTCAAGCAAGTTAAAAGTTTTCATGGCTCAGACAGTAGACATGGGAAATATCCTATGAGAATTTCAACTTGAGCCTCTTTCTGAGACTGATCATTTGAAGGTCATCAATCACACAGACCCAGTGCCCCACAGTCACAGCTTCCCATGTGCACCAGAGGTCTTCTCCAGCGTGCGTCCCCATAGTCTGCATGTGACCTGCAGAGCTCTCCTGATGCAAAAAGAGCATCACACCTGACAGAGACGGAACTGCTGGCACTGAAGCTGCGACAAAATTGAATCATTTCTCACATGGAGAATGTATTCTGTTGACCTCCAAACACCATGTGGGGCTGGATGAAAGTGTAAATACCTATCATGGGGTATTTGGAAGTTTAGGTTTGAGGAAAGTTGTGAAGTCCCTGCTGCTGGGCTGACTGGTTTAAGCCAGCAAGTGAAGTAGGCTCTCTGAAAATTAACCAAAACGCGAAGTTATTTTCCCTGTCCCATATTCAGTACAAGCAAGCAGACCTCAATGAATGGGCCTAATCCCATCTCCTCAGCTCTGCCTTGGGGTGATAGAATAATTCAAGCTAAAAAAGGAGGCAAAACCAAGGTAAAAGGGTGACACAGAGGAGAGACCAGGGATGAAGGGTTGTTATTTTCAGAAAATCTAAACAACAATTGCACAAGGTAAGTTTCTGGGTCCTCTAGTTTTTAACAAAAACAATTGCAGTGGGAACATAACTATTAGTGAAAAAGACATGATTTCAACAAAATGTAAGCCTGAGTTAGGTTTTCTGGTGTCATTACTGCTGTAATATGGAAACATTTTTGGTTTCATTACAGATCTTATGTAGTTCTATTCACAATTTCTGATTGTCAGAAAAAACCCTTTCCTTTATTCATCAGTTCCTCTGTTGAGGAGAAATTGCATCCCGGCTGCTTTAGCTAATTGCATCTGGATAATCAAAGACCCCACTGTCATAACACTTTTAGAGGCACAATTTTCAAAAAAGGGTGCACCCTTAAGGCATACAGGGCAAAATCCAGATTACCTCAAATTGTGAGTAGGAGGAATTGATGATGTATCTCCAAGAGTCTTGGCCCCAGTGTCACTTAACCTGGAGGTTTCTACACTTCACTGTTTGTGTCCACACCACTCCAAAATATGGGATAGTTTTTTTTCCAAATACATCACTTGAAAAAAATTTCAGCATAAGTTATTCCAGTTCAACAAAGTTACAAACAGCTGAAAACAGGCTCTTACAATGGGTCGTGTAACAGGAGTGCAGCCAGCACTTCCAACAGGAGCCTGTCACTGCTCTGTGCTGGGCTCTGGGCTCCTCTCTGTTATTTTTCCACACAAAAATGACAGTACTTGCTTTCCTGGGAAACTGTCCAGATGTAAAACAAGCAAATAAATTAATGTTCCCAAGCCACAGTACTTTTAAGTGTGCCCTGCAATAATCAAACCTTTTCCAATTAAGTAACTGTGATATATGAAGAAACACTTAGGGTGCTCAGCTGCCACAAAGCTGGCCTTTTTAGCAACACCCTTCAGTAAGACAAACACTTTAGATATTATTTCACATAACTATAGGTTAATGGGCATTAATTTCAAAATGATACAGTGTTTGTAGGGCAAATTTGTCTCCTGTTGTTTACCCCTGGGCTTACAGAGCCATTTCTTTCACATTCACAGTAACCTGTCTAATAGCTACTATTCAGTACATCAAACAGGAATTGCTAGGAGAGAGAATGCATCATTTTTAGGGAGTTTTTCAAAGATCAAAAGGGTAAAGTTATATACAGAAAAGAAGGCATATGATACACAGTATGATGAAGCTTCATGGAATGGTATTTTTGGTAGGAGTTTAATTGCAATATTGAATGTGAAAATTGCAGGAAATGGAGAGAAATTACATCATTGAGCCTTATCCATTGATTTTCAGGTAGCAGGCAACTATTAATCTTATTTAATGATTTTTCATAACCTCTATTCTACAACCTGCCTTCACCTCTGCCAGTCATTTAATACCACAGTGTCATTTGAAAGTAAAGACTCACGGGGTTTCCTCCCCTGACCAATAAGTACACAAGACCCAGCGTCATTATTCATAAGCCTCACAATGTTCCGACACCATCGGGTTGTCACAATTAACAGATCCTATGTGTGGCATTATGAAATAAGATGCTCAGCCACACAACGAAATAAGTTAGCGTGAATCGACGTACAGGTGATGAAATTCCTGTCGGTAACAAATGAACACGCATGACAGAAAAGGCTGGTGGCTTTCCTGGAAAGATACATATCCTGCATAAATTGCCAGACTTTTACAATGCAAAAAAAATTCTGGAGTATTAAAAATACTTAGTTAAATGATAGCAATCATACTCCTAGATGAAAAGCATAGCTAGCCACACAACACTGCAGTAACCCAGAGTGGCTGCCAAAAATGGTCAGAAGGCGTTGGAGCTCCTGCTTGGCTGAAAAAAGCCAAGAGAAGAGGCCTTTACGGTGGCTCTTGGGTGTCACTCCAGCAGGGTTATTCAAGCTGTGTGCCCTGCCCTTTGTCCATAGGAAGCAAATGATAAGCAGGTAGTGAGGTGGAGCTCTATTCACAGAAATATTTTTTTCTAAGCAAGTTGGATCTATTCATACCCAGTACTTTTGTTTACCAGTATCTAAATTGCTTGCTGGGAGGTTACATTCTGTCTAGAAACTGAGTGAAAACTTATTACTTGGGTCACCCTAACTGTTTTTACAACTGCTACTATGGTAACGTTAATTTATTAGAAAGGACATTTCCTTCTAATCTTTTCAATCTTCATACACCAGTAACACAGTTCATGCCCTCAGCTTTCTCAAATAGTGATCAAGAAGCACCAGAACACTGTTGTTTGGGGTTTGTTTCTGTTCATTGATGAAGCATGGTAGTAAAGATGAGCAAGAAATGTAGATTCTAAGATTTTACTCATAGAAAAAAAACCCAACAAAACAAAGCCAGGATATTTAGGAGGATGTATGGGGGAAATTTTAGAAGGTACTGTTTGTACATACAGCAGATCCAAGTTAGAAACATCAAGTTACTGGTTCCACATGAGCTATACAAGCTTCATAACAGAAATTGCAAACAGGGAGGACTGCAAATGCTGATCACAGAGTCATCCTGTCTCATCAATGTCCCTTGTTCCAGGCAGTGGGTAACTCTGAATCTGGGGACACCCTCACCTTCCTGAAGCACTGTGCCTGCACTGTCCTGATGCTCTTTCATTTCTGTCCAGGCTCTACACCCAGCCTGGGCTGCCTGGCCCTGCCCGGCTCTCCCCTTGCCTGCAGAGGTGGCTGGTAGGGTCTGAGCCATCCTGCTGACCCCACCAGTCTCCAGGCCCCTCTGTGCCCGACCCAGCTGCCACTCTGCAACCTCACGCTCTGCATGGGGCTTTACTCTTCACCCGGGAGGTCTGACAACCAAAACTCCCTTCCAGCCTGAAGGCTGCCTCTTCTCACCACTCCCTGGCAGCGATTTCATACGATGGTCAAACTGACTCTTATTCTGCCATAACTGTCTGGACACTGCCTCTTGTTTTTTTCCCTTTTTCCCCCACTCCCTTTTATGCTTCTAAAGCCAGCAGGACAAGAATTGTTTTTCCTCAAAGGGCTCATATTTCACTGCAGGTAATTCAATCCAATTAATGCTGATGAAGAAATCCTTAATATGCCACCCCATACTCAGCAGCCATGCACTAATACACTTTAAACTGGTAATTCTTTTTAGATGCAGTCACTGCCTCAAAGCATATTTCTAGATTACTTATAAATTATGAGTGCAAATGGGACAACTTTCTGGCATTTTTGCAGTCACATAACAACATCTATGCGTTTAATCAACAGCTGTCTTTTTGCTTCTCTCCATCTGACTAAAGCAGCAGATTAGAAGGCTAAGCAGTGTCACAAGATATGAAATAACCAAGTGTTCCTGAATTAAATATCTCCTGAAAAAATAAAAAAAAAAAAAAAAAAAAAAGATTCGAGTAATTAAGGCAGCTCCCCATCTCAAGTGACTAAGGCAGCTCCCCATCCTATTTAACACTTCTTCCTTCACCCTGCTTCACTGCCCAAGGAACGGTGTTGACATTTACCAAACTCACGATTTAAATCTGGTTGGCAATTTGAATTCCCTAAAGTTTAAAGGGTTATTTAATTTTATGATTTGGAGCTGATCCTCTCTCTATCAAAAACACATTTCCAGATTTTCAGAAAGCAGTGAAAGGCAAAGCTGAGCCACAGACAAAGCAGCCTGATTTTCAGAGTTTCAGAAGTCAAATCACTTTGAAATTATCAAGCAAACAAACCTCGCCAAAGAGGATAATGGCCAAATAAAAATGTCTACTTTATGCCAATCCTAAATGAAATATGTTCTAGAGCAAAAACAAGAATAGCAAAACAAAAATAATGTATTCAAACCACTAAACAGGAAAAAGATCTTCTATTTTTTTATGGAACATTCTGGTTTGAATTTAACAGTCAAATATGTTTTGACTTCTCTAAAACTCCTTCCTCATTTTCTGGTTTTCTTCACAACTGAAATGAATTTTTGAATTAAAAAAAAAAAAAAACAACAGAAGAAAACTCAAAATTAATGTAATTAAAAACAGCATCAACCACAGTTCTTTGTCTAAGTTGGAAGCAGTGGGAGACAGTT